GATTTCTAGCAAACTTTCTGTTTTACAAAGGTTATTTTTTCACTACTCCGCAGGGTAACCTCATTCCCGTTCTTTCCTAATACCATTACGACAGAAAGAAGGACTCAGACCAAGAAGATCAGACAAGATTGGAGATGGTGGTGGGTTGTTGGAATGGTCCATTAACAGAGTTTTAAAAACCAAATAATGGACATTTTGAAGCAGAGTTACGGATATGACAGTTGAGCATACACCAGAACAATATGCTTTTACAAACGAGAGGAATTCCAATGAAAGGATGTTTTGTTAGAAGAGAAACACCCTTGTCGGTTTCCCAAGTATCGTGTCGAGTCAAAAATAGCCACTTAAAGTTTACATTTTTCGGATATGAAATCTGTACCTTTTCTATAGCAGTTTAGTATATCCTGTAATAAGACCATTGTTGATTGAAAACAGCGAAAAAAGAACATTAGGCATACGACTTGTAGAGTATTTCAGGTGAGCTAGGTACTGACCATTCGATCTTCTGGGGGATCTGACATAAGCTGACCAGGTGAGCTGTAAAATGCTATCTTTCAACATAATTCATGAATAAATCTATTGGATTGTAAAAAGATTTCGCATGACAGATGACGGAAGCCGTATAAAGACGGATGGCAATACGTCACATGAGACTTTCGGACATCCTGCATGTATGGATTAAAAGTAAGCTAACTGGAACTGTCCTATGGGGAATTAATAAAGGCATGTCCCACAGTGTACAGCTGCACCTACCTACATAGCTGAAAGAAATCGATGTAGTAGTTTAGAAGTTGTCCAGACAAATTGAAATGACAAAGTAATAAAAGGCAATAACTCCGCCCAAATGAAAAAGAAACACAATTGCAATGTGCCCAACACCATGTTGAAGCTGCCACGCGTACAAAGTTTAATTAAAATCAGTCATTTAGTTCAGAAGGAATTGTCCGGAAAGTTAATTTCTGCAGACAGACCGTCACACAGACAGACACGCTGATTCCATTACACTCTAACGTCGTTGCGGGGGTACACTAGACTAATAATCTAATAAAATGATATTCACGAGGGATTTCAAAAGGAATTTCTGTAAATTACAAAATGGGGACTGTGAGACCATCTTGGATTTCTGAATGAGGTTATATTACTGTATGTTGTGCTGATCATCCACACCTAGTTTCACAAAGAGGACTTATTAGTATGGAAAAATGATCTTAAATAGGGTTATCTATCTAAATTTCGACCAATCAGAGGACTCCAATCCGTTGTTATTGTAATAAAATGTGCTTTGTGTGCAAAAGTATATCTAAATATGTTTTAACGAAATCGAACAACTAAGTTTCTATCAATCAGATGCCTCGGTTATATTGCCATGATTGTAAGAAAACCTATTCGGTTGAGTCCTGAACGACATTGTACCCAAATACCAAATTTGAACGAAATCTCTGAATATCTACAGCTCTCTAGATGCCGCTTTCCGTTGCCATGGAAGCAAGGTAGTAACGTAAGTAAAGTCATATTGCATAGTGTCCCTAGATACACCTTTGTACCAAGATGTAAGAAAATCCGTCGTCACGTCAGTAACGACCCATTAAAAAACCTGGAAATAACGACGACGTTGTCATTGTTGAGAGGTTGTTGGAATATGAAAGATGTTGTGCACTTTCACAAGTTTCATGGCTCTACTATATGTTGTTCCTGAGTAAACACACAAAGTTGAAGGAAGAATATATTATATGACGAATAATTGGTCTCCACTGTATTAAGTACTTGTAGGCGATGGGCCTTTTTGTATAAACGAAATACAATTTAGGTGCAAACAGTGTAAAATACAACACATTCCTTTGCATTTTTTTTTTTTTAATGCAGTTTTAACTTTATAGCATGTTATCAAAGTTGTAGTATTTGTGTTCTTACAGCATTGGCGTAAAGCAAGTACTTTGCTGTATTCATAATGATAATACTGCGATGACAGTAGTGTATTAAACTTCAGAATATTTGTAAAGATGTAAATTTTAGATTTATTGTAACTTTGCCTCAGATTGCTATAACATGGACAAATTAACAAAGAGTGATATTCCTTTCCAATATGGTTTAGGTTGCAAGCTTTACATTTTCTTTTAATTCACGATGAATAATGAAATATCGTCCACGTTCAATTTATAAATTGTGAGAACTGAGCCGAAAACGAGTCAATGTGGCCCTGACTTTATTTACAGTTATACTATTCAATTAGTTTTCACGTGAAATGGATGTTTTAAACTGTGCATAATAAGACATTTTTTCGGCTTTCAGATGGATCACTTTGCCAAACCTGAAAAAAGTGACCTTTTAACCGCTGACGTAACATATTTAAAAATACGGTTTTATTACCCCATGCTTGAAAGTACTAGACCAAATCACCAAATTCTAATATGAAAATAACAGTTACCCAATTTACATGGTCTTCTTCAGCGTACAACCGCAACATATTGTAACATTTTTATTTTTAATTTTTATTTTAATTATATTTTATGTATTTTATGTATTTATTTATTTTATTTTATTATTATATTATTTTATTTTTTTTGGAGGGGGGGGGGGGGGGGTGTGAAACGGAAGCAGCTGAATAGAACATCTACCATACTCAATTCTATTTCACTGAACCCCAAATTTTCAGCCGCGTATAAAAGTATTGATGTTATATTTGTATCTAAATATTTGAAGTGAAAGTGAGGCGAGTATGGTTTCAAGGAATGTATACTAATTAACAGGACCAGGAACACCTTTCTTGCCTGAACTGGAATATTTTTTAAAACATTCCACATCGGTTATTTATTGCTAAAATACAAACCAAGATTACTGTATCAAGTAACTACTTCAACCGCATTTCCATCATGATACCGTTTTTCACAACCTTATAAACCACCCCATTTACAATAGAAACCATGCAAGATATTCGACTTCATTTGTAAGTTGTTGACAGAATTGCCAAACACAATAAAGTCTTCCGCAAATAGAAGTAGAAATATATGAATAAATAACGCTGAATGACAGAGTTTATGACAAAACAGTTATCAAGAGATGAATAACCTTTTCCAAACCCTGACTGACATTCAGATATGTTATCAGGTGTTGCAGCCCAATACACAATTCTTCTGTTTACAATAGATGTAAAATCTTTACTGAGGATACTCAGGAGGCTTATCGCTCTGTAGGAACAGAGGCGTCCCTTTCTTATGTAGTGGGATAATTATCCCAGTAGCCCAACATTCAGGGGCATTAAATGCTGTTAAATATTATTTCTAAATAAGGTATTATAACAGCGGGTGAATATTTTAGATATGCACTAAGAATGTCATCAAGACCTGCTGATTTATTATTTTTCTTGGCACTGATGCTTTCAAAAAGATCTAGTGATTGGGGAATCTATCAATTGTCAGTTCATGCCCCAAATTATGACAAAATCAATACAGAAGAGTAAATAGTCTCTCTCTGGGGTACTTAATAAAAAAATACAACATATCTACCCCATTGTGTCTATCTTTGTTATTATACCAGGTCGATTGTCCCGTTGGATATATGTAAATGCACCTAATGTATCTCTACTGAAACCAAACATACTCTTATCAAACAGAATAGTAATAGCATCTTCTCTGTATCGAACATCAACAACATATCTTACCAGTGAATATTTTATCAAAAGCATTATATCCCTCCCGAATACGACCCGAACAGAAACAGTTTATATTCTGGAAAAATGTCACGCAAGTAATTTTCTCTTGACTATGTTTCATATAAAGCAACAATGTCATATTCAGGTACAAAAGAAATAAAGCCAATATCTGACAGTTTATTGGTTAAATCTTCTATATTCCTTGCAATGTAATGTTGACTCGCTATAACAGCCCTGGTCACCCCGGTATTACCCTAGGGCTGAGTTAACCTTCGACCTTGACGGCAGCACCCGCTCCTGATCCACCGTTGACGATGTTCGACTAGTGTCGCGATCTGATGCTCATCATCTACCAGAGTAGTAGCTGGCATGCCCTCAATGACGAGCCTGACATTCTTATTACAGCCACTCTTGTTCTCTGAGCAAAGTCAGTTTCTCACGCTGTCGCTTATTACGAATAATTACAAGAAACCGAGCAAAAACAACAAAAAATGTGAAAATAGCAAAAAAAACTAATCAAACTTTGTTTTTAAGAATCTTTTACAATAAGGGGCGATATGTACGATTTTAACCCTTAATGTAAAAAAATATTTTTAACATTAAGAGTAATTTTTACTCAAGGGTTTAACAGTGCTCTCTCCCCTGTAGCCGCTATATATTTCAGACGCTGTACTCGTCGTTAATGTCACGGCCATTGCGATAGCATGCGCATATCCTGCTAGTGTTTCAACTGACAAAGGTAACTCTGTATGAGCACGTTTACCTGAGGGACGATTCCTGTCCGTGAGCAACTTAAACCTGACCCTACATAAATGTTGTGAGGGGCAAACGAAAGTATACAGAGTTAAATTTGATTATTTCTATGTAACCATCTTTCATCCTTGCAACAGTTTGTGAAAGGGTAATATGTGGCACGGTAATTCTGTGTAAAAATAAACTGGCTCATTGACGACTGAGGTAAGAAATGTAAAACAGTAAATGTGTGCCGATAAATTCAAATTTATTGATTTTCCAGGATAAGATGTCTTAGATACCCATAAGCACTAGTGTATCCTATGAAATCTATTTATTTTCTATTTCCAAACGTCTTAAATCAAATTAATTTTTTTTAATGGGATATAATAGCCCTAACTTCAGCTATTAATAGAAAATAAACTGAGAGGTATAGTTTCATTCACTCCTCTGTTTACTTTTAGCCATAGGTTATGATGTTAAAAGAAATGAAGACAGGCGTCACGGGCCGAAGTTTTACCATACTTTATGGAATGAGTACATATCCGAGGTCGCCTCGGAAAACAGACTATCCAACACCTTTTCCGACAGAACAATAGCTGGTGTGTCTCACGCGTCTGTTGCAATCCACCATTATCAGCTGCGTGATCAATGAGGTCACCAGGTGAAGGACGCCCAGACAGTAGTGGGGGCAGCGCACAGAGACAGGATCATAACCGCGAGTGTTAGGGAAGCGACACACTACGGTGAGTACATACAGCTGTGTTTCTCTGTCACTAAACCTTTTCACCTTTTATGACGAGACCCGTGACGATCCTGGGTAGAATAGATCTTCAGCAGCCCATGCTTGCCGTAAAAGGCGACTTTGCTTATCGTAAGAGGCGACTAACGGGATCGGGGGTTCAGGCTCGCTGACTTGATTGATGGATGTCATAGTAGCCCAATTGCGTGTATCGAATGTCACGATGTCAATCACTGGATTGTCTGGTCCAGATTCGATTATTTACACACCACCGTTTGTTAGTTGTTTCACGCAGCACTCAGTAATACTCCAACTATATGATCGAGTCTGAACCAGACAATCCAGTGATTGTTGTTATGAGCAATGCCCCGCCCCATCTGGGTACGATGACACTTTGTCAAATAGCATGACCAGGTCTGTGGAACAGGTCTAACTGGAATACCCACGGGGAACTACAATGTAACCTCGCTTCAGCATTATGTCAAGGCCATACCCTGACTTATCACTTCATTCAAGTACAAAGGTGAAGCAGCACAGAGAGTGGGGAACTACAATGTAACCTCACTTCAGCATCATGTCAAGGCCATACCCTCACTTATCACTTCATTCAAGTACAAAGGTGAAGCCACACAGTTAGCGGGGAACTACAATGTAACCTCGCTTCAGCATCATGTCCAGGCCATACCCTCACTTATCACTTCATTCAAGTACAAAGGTGAAGCCGCACAGTTAGCGGGGAACTACAATGTAACCTCGCTTCAGCATCATGTCAAGGCCATAACCTCACTTATCACTTCATTCAAGTACAAAGGTGAAGCCGCACAGTTAGCGGGGAACTACAATGTAACATCGCTTCAGCATCATGTCAAGGCCATAACCTCACTTATCACTTCATTCAAGTACAAAGGTGAAGCCATACAGTTAGCGGGGAACTACAATGTAACCTCGCTTCAGCATCATGTCCAGGCCATACCCTCACTTATGACTTCATTCAAGTACAAAGGTGAAGCCGCACAGTTAGCGGGGAACTACAAACTAACCTCGCTTCAGCATCATGTCAAGGCCATAACCTCACTTATCACTTCATTCAAGTACCAAGGTGAAGCCGTACAGTTAGCGGGGAACTACAATGTAACCTCGCTTCAGCATCATGTCCAGGCCATACCCTCACTTATCACTTCATTCAAGTACAAAGGTGAAGCCACACAGTTAGCGGGGAACTACAATGTAACCTCGCTTCAGCATCATGTCAAGGCCATAACCTCACTTATCACTTCATTCAAGTACAAAGGTGAAGCCGCACAGTTAGCGGGGAACTACAATATAACCTCGCTTCAGCATCATGTCAAGGCCATAACCTCACTTATCACTTCATTCAAGTACAAAGGTGAAGCCGCACAGTTAGCCGGGAACTACAATGTAACCTCGCTTCAGCATCATGTCAAGGCCATAACCTCACTTATCACCTCATTCAAGTACCAAGGTGAAGCCGCAAAGTAAGCTGGGAACTACAATGTAACCTCGCTTCAGCATCATGTCCAGGCCATACCCTCACTTATCACTTCATTCAAGTACAAAGGTGAAGCCACACAGTTAGCGGGGAACTACAATGTAACCTCGCTTCAGCATCATGTCAAGGCCATACCCTCACTTATCACTTCATTCAAGTACAAAGGTGAAGCCACACAGTTAGCCGGGAACTACAATGTAACCTCGCTTCAGCATCATTTCAAGGCCATACCCTCACTTATCACTTCATTCAAGTACAAAGGTGAAGCCACACAGTTAGCAGGGAACTACAATGTAACCTCGCTTCAGCATCATGTCAAGGCCATAACCTCACTTATCACTTCATTCAAGTACAAAGGTGAAGCCACACAGTTAGCGGGGAACTACAATGTAACCTCGCTTCAGCATCATGTCAAGGTCATAACCTCACTTATCACTTCATTCAAGTACAAAGGTGAAGCCACACACTTAGCGGGGAATTACAATGTAACATCGCTTCAGCATCATGTCAAGGCCATAACCTTACTTATCACTTTATTCAAGTACAAAGGTGAAGCCGCACAGTTAGCGGGGAACTACAATGTAACATCGCTACAGCATCATGTCAAGGCCATAACCTCACTTATCACTTCATTCAAGTACAAAGGTGAAGCCGAACAGTTAGCGGGGAACTAAAATGTAACCTCGCTTCAGCATCATGTCAAGGCCATAACCTCACTTATCACTTCATTCAAGTACAAAGGTGAAGCCACACAGTTAGCGGGGAACTACAATGTAACCTCGCTTCAGCATCATGTCAAGGCCATAACCTCACTTATCACTTCATTCAAGTACAAAGGTGAAGCCGCACAGTTAGCGGGGAACTACAATGTAACCTCGCTTCAGCATCATGTCAAGGCCATAACCTCACTTATCACCTCAGTCAAGTACAAACGTGAAGCTGCACAGTTAGCGGGGAACTACAATGTAATCTCGCTTCAGCATTATGTCCAGGCCATACCCTCACTTATCACTTTATTCAAGTACAAAGGTGAAGCCACACAGTTAGCGGGGAACTACAATGTAAACTCGCTTCAGCATCATGTCAAGGCCATACCCTCACTTATCACTTCATTCAAGTACAAAGGTGAAGCCGCACAGTTAGCCGGGAAATTCAATGTAACCTCGCTTCAGCATCATGTCAAGGTCATAACCTCACTTATCACTTCATTCAAGTACAAAGGTGAAGCCGCACAGTTAGCAGGGAACAACAATGTAACCTCGCTTCAGCATCATGTCCAGGCCATGCTCTCACTTATCACTTCATTCAAGTACAAAGGTGAAGCCACACAGTTAGCGGGGAACTACAATGTAACATCGCTTCAGCATCATGTCCAGGCCATACCCTCACTTATCACTTCATTCAAGTACAAAGGTGAAGCCACACAGTTAGCGGGGAACTACAATGTAACCTCGCTTCAGCATCATGTCAAGGCCATAACCTCACTTATCACTTCATTCAAGTACCAAGGTGGAGCCGCACAGTTAGCGGGGAACTACAATGTAACATCGCTTCAGCATCATGTCAAGGCCATACCCTCACTGATCACTTCATTCAAGTACAAACGTGAAGCCGCACAGTTAGCGGGGAACTACAATGTAACCTCGCTTCAGCATCATGTCAAGGCCATAACCTCACTTATCACTTCATTCAAGTACAAAGGTGAAGCCGCACAGTTAGCGGGGAACTACAATATAACCTCGCTTCAGCATCATGTCAAGGCCATAACCTCACTTATCACTTCATTCAAGTACAAAGGTGAAGCCGCACAGTTAGCGGGGAACTACAATGTAACCTCGCTTCAGCATCATGTCAAGGCCATAACCTCACTTATCACCTCATTCAAGTACAAAGGTGAAGCCGCAAAGTAAGCTGGGAACTACAATGTAACATCGCTTCAGCATCATGTCAAGGCCATACCCTCACTTATCACTTCATTCAAGTACAAAGGTGAAGCCACACAGTTAGCGGGGAACTACAATGTAACATCGCTTCAGCATCATGTCAAGGCCATACCCTCACTTATCACTTCATTCAAGTACAAACGTGAAGCCGCACAGTTAGCGGGGAACTACAAACTAACCTCGCTTCAGCATCATGTCAAGGCCATAACCTCACTTATCACTTCATTCAAGTACCAAGGTGAAGCCGCACAGTTAGCGGGGAACTACAATGTAACATCGCTTCAGCATCATGTCCAGGCCATACCCTCACTTATCACTTCATTCAAGTACTAAGGTGAAGCCGCAGAGTTAGCGGGGAACTACAATGTAACCTCGCTTCAGCATCATGTCAAGGCCATAACCTCACTGATCACTTCATTCAAGTACCAAGGTGGAGCTGCACAGTTAGCGGGGAACTACAATGTAACCTCGCTTCAGCATCATGTCAAGTCCATACCCTCACTGATCACTTCATTCAAGTACAAACGTGAAGCCGCACAGTTAGCGGGGAACTACAATGTAACCTCGCTTCAGCATCATGTCAAGGCCATAACCTCACTTATCACTTCATTCAAGTACAAAGGTGAAGCCGCACAGTTAGCAGGGAACTACAATATAACCTCGCTTCAGCATCATGTCAAGGCCATAACCTCACTTATCACTTCATTCAAGTACAAAGGTGAAGCCGCACAGTTAGCGGAGAACTACAATGTAACCTCGCTTCAGCATCATGTCAAGGCCATAACCTCACTTATCACTTCATTCAAGTACAAAGGTGAAGCCGCACAGTTAGCGGGGAACAACAATGTAACCTCGCTTCAGCATCATGTCAAGGCCATAACCTCACTTATCACCTCATTCAAGTACCAAGGTGAAGCCGCAAAGTAAGCTGGGAACTACAATGTAACATCGCTTCAGCATCATGTCCAGGCCATACCCTCACTTATCACTTCATTCAAGTACAAAGGTGAAGCCACACAGTTAGCGGGGAACTGCAATGTAACCTCGCTTCAGCATCATGTCAAGGCCATACCCTCACTTATCACTTCATTCAAGTACAAAGGTGAAGCCACACAGTTAGCGGGGAACTACAATGTAACCTCGCTTCAGCATCATTTCAAGGCCATACCCTCACTTATCACTTCATTCAAGTACAAAGGTGAAGCCGCACAGTTAGCGGGGAACTACAATGTAACCTCGCTTCAGCATCATGTCAAGGCCATACCCTCACTTATCACTTCATTCAAGTACAAAGGTGAAGCCGCACAGTTAGCGGGGAACTACAATGTAACATCGCTACAGCATCATGTCAAGGCCATAACCTCACTTATCACTTCATTCAAGTACAAAGGTGAAGCCGAACAGTTAGCGGGGAACTACAATGTAACCTCGCTTCAGCATCATGTCAAGGCCATAACCTCACTTATCACTTCATTCAAGTACAAAGGTGAAGCCACACAGTTAGCGGAGAACTACAATGTAACCTCGCTTCAGCATCATGTCAAGGCCATA